CTACGTGTTTTACACTGAGCAGCATCCTTGGAAAATAAAAATTATTTTTCTCCTCATGGGCATCTGTTAACTTAATTGTTACATTTCCTTCTCCTTGTCAAAATCCACGATTTTTTATTTTTGTTTTTAAGCTTTAATTCATGTGAGTTTCTTACCATTCTTCACCCTGCTTATTTACCAAGGTTCACAGTAACTAGCTAGTAAAGTATCTTTATTAATCAGACTTCAACCATCTTAGAAGCCATAAGCCTTTAATCATGTTTGTTAGTAATAATGCAAAATTGGTTGGATTTTGGAATATTTCACTACTATTTTTCTTTTGGTTAATACTACTTTGGTTAAAAGAGAAGGAGAGTGACAGAGGAATATTTTGTTAATAACCCTTTCCATTAAATATCAGCCAGGAGATAAAGCAACTTAGAAATGCTAAGGTGATTTAATGGTGGATCAAAGTTAATGGGAATAGAATATTCACAAAACCTTTTCTAACTTTAAGTAAAACGAAGTACAACAGTAATTTAAAAGTATAGAGTGCTGTCAACGTAAGTTGCCATGCTTTGTCAGGGTGAAGGTGCTTAAGATTACTCGGGGAACTGCAGCAGAAACTTCTTAAAGACTTAAAATTTCAGTGGAACTTGAGTAAGACTTTTCAGTGCTTTTTTTTCTTATTTGTGTACCTTAAGTCAAGGGCAGTGGTTTATTTCTTCTCTGTGTCAAACTGGTCCCACCCCATACCCTTGGATAAAAGAAAAATAAAATACTTTGAGTGAGAAAATACTTAGGCTATGTTTAGAAGGTTACTATTTGTTCCGAATCTAAGAGATTTTCTTTGGTTAAAACAAACAGAATAATAGCTTTTGATTATATCTTTCTAATGGTAATTTTTCAAACACATTAGAAGTATGATCTGTAGTAGTGAATGCCAGTAGCTGTGCTTCCACAGGATGGCAGTGTAGTAACATTTTCATGATGTAATAAATGATTTACAATATTATTGATGGTGTGCATTTTTTTAGAGCTCACTAGTTTGATGGAAAGCTTTATTCTGGTTTAAAAGGCTAAGAAAAGTAGGTTAACATGGGTGGTTAGAAAGTTGTAATAAATGTGGATGGTAGTTTAGTCACGTATCCCGGAGAGTCTGTAGGAAGAATTGGTGGGGAATGATTGCTGTGGGTTTGTGTTGTTGAAGTCTTCTGAGAACATTAGAGAATGGTACAGGTGTTGTCAACTGCCTCTTCAATGCTTGTGTCAAGAAGAGGCGATCTCTCCCGCCTTTAAGTTTTTATAGAGCCAGGGTTTTTTTCCACCCATGTCACGTGTCCTTGCATCATTGTAGTGTGGTTATTTGTGTAAATCCTTGATTTTCCCAGTTAGATATCTAACTTTTAGAGGATGGGATTGATCTTAATTAGATTTTGTATTTTTAGAGTGTCTTGACCATAGTAGACATAAAGTTAATATTTGAATGAATCAACTAAAGAGGTAATTTTTAAACACACTGTTAGATGCTATAGTACAAAGCCTAGAGAAAGCATATTTTCATTTTGCAGTAGAGATTGTCTTTATTTTTGAGAATTGAGCGTTACTTCACTATTTCTTTCTACTCAAATATATCTAATTTCTACCTTCTTTGTTTTAAAACATAGGTTTGTAAATGGAATTTAAATTGAGGCATAGAGATGTATATCTAATTTTACAGATTTAAGGAGAAGAGCAGCATTAAGCAAGATGAGTTTGTGATATTTTATATTATCTGGCAAACAATCCTGAATTTTATTTAATGGAAATACTTATCTGTATATTGAAGAATGCATGAGATAGAACATATATCCACCTATGTAAACGTCTCAGGATCAGTGATCCAAAATATATAAAAATAGAGGAGACTTAAATCCAGTTCTCTTAAAAGAAAATGATTATTTTTGCGTTATGGCATATATACATTTATCAGTTTTGTATCATGGGTGCATAAATGAGGCTAGTTTGGATAGAGGTATAAATGAGGCTAGTTTGGATAGAGGAATATTTCAGAGGTAAAATATTCTTGAGAACTTGCCTGTTTCTATTAGTTCAGCTTTATTTGACATAACCTATGTTTACGAAGTAATACAAATTAAAGTCCCACCTGGCCATTTATGTTTCCTGAGATTGAGTTTCTTTTTCTTGAACTTATCTCCATCACTCCTACTGTTAACTTGAACTCTAGCGCAAAGCTTTCTATATAAAGTGTTTTCTTTTTTACTGATTACAATAAATGTCTCTGCAAAGTTGCATAAATCCACTGAATTGAGAATATTATCAGATTTCTTCTTCTCTTTTTGAATATGTCTGGAAATGAACTTGAGCAAATCCCTGAGAGGGAACTTCATCGAAAGTTCTCAAGCATGTGATTGCTGAAATTTTTACATTGCCAAGCACAACATAGTTCCATTTGAAGAGAGAGAATAGGAACATGAATGTGTATGTGTGCCCACTCACCTTCCTGTGATTATTCTGGAAAATGTGACTTAGAGGGAAGTAAATGGGCTGGAGACTTTTGCTTTTTACTATATAATATAGAAAATGTAATATATATAGTTTTTTAAAACAAAAAACCTATTACCTTTGCAATTAAGAACAAACCAGTAATTCATAGAGACAGATGCAGATTTGTGTTTGCCTTGGGCTGGAATGGGGGGAATAGAGAACAATTGCTGAATGAGTCTGGGGTTGTCTTTTGAGGAGATGAAAATGTTTTGGGACTAGAGAGATGTGGTAGTTGCACAATGTTGTGAATGTACTAAATACCCCTGAGTTCTTTGCTTTAAAATGATTATATGTGAATTTCACCTCAATTTTTAAAAAGGCTTTACTTTTTTGTTCAACATGTGCCATTAGTCCAAATTCTGTGACAGTGTTATAACATTCAGTGTTCATTTGTGTTTATAAGAAAGAGAAATCCAGCCTCAGAGGTGATTGAGGTATTTGGATGTAAGGGGAGTTAGCTATAATTAAAACACATATATGACATAGGTTTTCTCAGGCCTGACCTGTCTAGTTATGCCTCTGTGTGTTCAATATTTGTCTAAGGTTTGATTTCTCAGTTCTGGGTGTCTAAAAGGCCTGTTGATCATAGAATCTTAGGTTACTATTGTTAGCAGGGATCTACAAATCTTCTTGTACAAACCCCTCATTCTGTAGTGAGGAACCTGAAACTTTTCTTGTTAAGTAGTTGTTCAAGATCACATAATGCCTTGTTCCCATTTTTTTCTGGTTCTGCCTCTGACTCTGTCAGGATGTCTACACAAGACTGATTTTTAAAAGAAACATGTTATTAGAAAACTCATCAACCAAACTGGTTGATGGTTCAAGTCGTGACATAGAAATTCTTATTTACTTAACTTTTATTGTATTTGTGTTTGAGTACCTCACTGAGGGTAATTCCATTCCAACATTAATATGTCTGGAAAGTACTGTATTGGATGGATTGCTTTTGTAGTCTCCTTCAGACAACCAGTTCTCCATTAGCTTGAGGTCATTGGAAATGTTATTCATGTATATTGGTTCTTCCTATTAAATTTACTTGAGCTTCTTATCCTTTTCCTAACACTCTACTGATCATCTCTTATCAGACAGCTTGAGGGGCAACTTAACATTTGAACCATTGCACCATAATTTACCTTGTATAGATGGGTTTCTTTTAACAGCAAATAAACATTCTTTCTCAGCTAAGCTGGGTAAAGAGAAGAGGTGTATGCTGTATGCTGTGCTATACAGTGTGTAGCATGCATATAGGTATGCTATAACAGTTCTCTTCCTAAGTATACCCCCAGTCTTTTTTCCTAATAGAGTAATTTATTTGCCAACAACTAAATATTGACTATGCTTTATATGAGTTTTATCAATGAAATAATTTTCACATTAACTTATTTCAGATGGGTTTTATCATCTTTGCTAAATAATTTTTAGTTATAGTAATTCCAAGTACAACTTTCTCTGTATTCAGCTTGTCTGATAGTGATCTGTGAACACCTAAATGCAGAACAAGTCTGTTTCACAAATTGTAACCATCCCCATTTGCCTATACATTTAGGTTGATACAAGCCAAGAATACTATAGTATACTCAACGCCAAGAGCAAATAGATTTCCTTTATTAGACCCTAATAAGTTCAGTAACTAGTCTGTTTTGTGGCGTGACTTCTGTGTACTTAGTCCTTTTCTTCTTTAAACACAGAAAACTTAGTGGATGGACTTTTTTTTTTTTTTTTTTTACTGGTAAGTACTCTACAAAGAGTATTAGGACACTATAAAAAGGGTGTGAAACGCTTGAGCTTTTGAGACAATAGCAGCTATTCATATATGATGATCATAAGTATTCATTAGGTCATGCATACTTTGGTTTAATGCCAACAGGAATGCTGTTTACTTATTTATATATTACATAGCTTCTTGGGTCATGACAATGATTATTAATGATAGATTGAAAAAAACTTGATTCCATTTTGGGGAGAGGAAAGTAGCGCCAGTCTCTTAAACTCTTCTAAATGATATTTTGTAAAATAAAGTACTTAAAATAATATATATTTTTTAAATTGACAGAAAGAAAACCAATGTTACCTCAGTAAAAAAATTAAAGGGCCAGCCTAGTGGCGTAGGGTTAAGTTTGTGCACTCTACTTCGGTGGCCTGGGGTTTGCAGGTTCGGATCCTGGGCGGCTCATCAAGCCATGCTGTGGCGGTATCCCACATACAAAATAGAGGAAGATTGGCACAGATGTTGGCTCAGAAACAATCTTCCTCACCAAAAAATAAGAAGAATTTTTTTTAAATGGCAGAATTTTTGTGATTTATAATGTATGATTAACCATCAAATATGTATCAAATAGAACAGTCAGTTCAAGATTCTGTTCTTAAAATAAGTTCACTTAAAACTTCACTAAAAATATGTTATCTATATATTTATGTTTAAAGTACTTAATGGTAGTAGTAAATTATCCTTGTTTTCTATTTTGTCTTTATAGCATATAGCACTTTCTACATTGTGGGTTTAATATTATCCATGCAGATACCGTTTGTGGGATTCCAGCCAATCAGAACAAGTGAACATATGGCAGCTGCAGGTATGAAAAAATATTTATTTTCCTTCTTCTAAAGAATATATGAATGTGTGACTGGCCAGTCTTCAAGGGAATGAAGTGTTTTTTTGGTTTTAATTTTCATCTTACTGGTTCTAAAACATCATCACTATAAAATAAGAATATCATAGAGTTTTATTTAGAGTTTCTGATATTGTGTTCCCAAAAGTGTCTATCTTCCCAGCCACTGCTGTTTTGAAAAGGAGAACATGCATTTTTGGCACAATCCGTGTTATTTGCAAATACTAAGTAACATTTACTTTGTATAAACAAACACTAAACAGTGGTGTATCTGTACACTGAGTTATGTACCACTGAGTTTCCATTTCAGCAAATTTAAATGGAACATTTCATTTTTATGTCCCTTACATCTCACTAAAATATTTTATTTATATTCACTAACTGGAATTAATGGCTTTTATGTTGTTAAAAAGTCATATCATTTCCTTCCATGTAAGCAGAGTACTTCGCCATTATTAATCTGGGTCACAATTAACAAGATAATGGGAGATCTTAGAGATTCTCAACGCAAGCTCCATGACCTGTAGGAAGTCCATTGGTATTATTTTATTTGTAATGTTTTATGAATATCAGTATATTTAACTTTCTGAGATGATGTTCTGTAGCTTTTATCAGATTCTCAGAATCTTGAACTCCCTCCCCCAAGAAAGTTAAGAACCCCCCACCTTACTGTTACATAGCACTTTAAAATCTGTGAAATACTTTTACTTACATTTATAATTTGATGTTAGGGGCCAGCCCCATGGCCTAGTAGTTAAGTTCAGCATGTTCTACTTCAGTGTCTTGGGTTTAGTTCCCAGGAGTGACAGCAACCCACATACAAAATAGAGGAAGATACGCACAGATGTTAGCTCAGGGCGCATCTTCCTCAGCAAAAAAAAAAATATATATATATAAAATTTGATGTTATAAAATTACCGAGTAGTAATTTGAGAGTGAGAGAAATGTGTATTCAGTTTTGAGTATAGTCATGTATAGCAATGTTTGTGTAGACACACAGTCACTTGACTCTATGCGTATGTGTTGTTATATTTCTTAAAATCTAAATCTTTAATGATGCTTATTTAACCATTCTAAAATGAACTTTTAAAAATAACCCTTATGACTGAATTTTTTTAAGCAAAAAGTCAGTTTTCCAGATGGGATAGGATACTCATTTCTTTGTTTAGTTTTAAACGTAGTGCTTTTGTGTTGTGTTCTGTACACTTTGACAATTACTTTTCACTATTACTACTTTAATTTTATTTATCTTAGCACTCACCCTTATATTTACTAATTTAGCATCTTGTATAATAGGTGTGTAATTAAGGTCACATTCCTCACTCAATTATAAACAGTAACTATATATCAAGATTCTCCTGATCCAAGTAATATGTATCCTTCAGTAAATCTCAGGATTGTTTTTTAATGACGTTTGTATTCCTCTCCCCTCCAGAAAACATCACTAAAATCTGGAAAAGGGAGGAGTTTAATGTGCTAAATAGGCTCCAGTTATTGATTGAAGTGGGATTTTTCTTGCCTGGTCCATGTATGGGAAGTCTGATCATTTCAGAAAAAATGTGTAACAGAATTTTTTGGATTTATTAATTGGTTAACTATCATTTGACAAGGAAAATGTCGGTTAGATGAAATGACTAGTCGTGGATATGACTGGTACAGGGTATTAAGAAGCTCTTCCAAATTAACGTTTTTAAATGTCCTTGGCAAAGTGCTTTGTTGATTATTTATTTGACCCTTTTCTTTAATTAGGTGTCTTTGCATTGCTGCAAGCTTATGCTTTCTTGCAGTATCTGAGAGACCGACTAACAAAACAAGAGTTCCAGACCCTTTTCTTTTTGGGTGTATCACTAGCTGCAGGTGCTGTCTTCCTTAGTGTCATCTATTTGACTTATACAGGTAGGTGTCATCACCTGTAAGATGTGAATCTTGTCTCCAGATTATTCAAAATGGTAATTCTTTTGCAAATTTTGTACATGTTCCATTTACCCTAGCAGGTCAAATACTATGGTTGTATTCTTTACAAAAAATATAAAAATAATAGTCATAGGTTCTTAAATCTGAATAGCACTACAAATTGTGATTTCTTTTTATTTTAACAGTATCTTAATTTTTCTGCTTCAGAATCTGATAAATTCACTTTCAAGCACCCTCTTGATAGATGAATAGGCCCAAACTGTATAAAATTAAAAGCTTCCAGTGTTAACCTATTGCATGCTTGCTCTCTCGTGTGCATACACTCTTTCTCTCTCTCTCCTACTTTTAAACCATCAACCAAATCAGTTTCAATCTGCTTCTGTGTTCTGACTGTTAGTCTGTTATCCTGACTTCACTTCACTTATCCTGACCTCTAGTCCCTAGAAACAAGTCAAATTCTTCCTAAAGGTATTCCATCTGTCAAATTAATGTACCAGCCTAGCTCATAAAATTATGAAGAATTAATTGACAGGAGTAAAAGGGCATGAATGTTTAAAATCATCTTTGTAATTTATCCAAATTTGGCATACTGGATTTGATAATTTAGACACCTCCCCCCTTTTTAAATTATCCAATGCTGTGTTAATGTCTTTGCTTTATTTTAGTAGTCAACTAGAAGTTTAAGAGAGAACTGGAAAACTTTCTACAGTTTTATCTATCAACTTATGTTTCTCTGGAAATATAATCTCTGTGGATATTTGGATTTTTTGATCACTGATTTTATCTGACAGCCAGCTTTGTGAAATATGTTGTCACCTACAAAAGAAAACTGAAATTCTCTGAATATTAGTTTAAATTAATCAATAATAATCAGTAAGCATAAAACCAATGTAACAATAAAAAGGCAAATTAATTTCCTTTGCATTTTTCCTTCCAAGGTTACATTGCACCATGGAGTGGCAGGTTTTATTCATTATGGGACACTGGGTAAGTGCAGTTATTTGCCCTCGTATTATATTAAAATGCTCTTTTTTTCTCTTCTTGTCAGCATCTCCGTCAATACTTGAGCAATCTTTCTAAAGTACCTAGTTTATACTAGTTTAGTAAATGTTGAATACCTTATGGTTTTTCTTTGTTACAATGCCTGTTTGGAATGAACCTTTAGTATGATATATAGGTCCTATTTTTGTTCTACATGGACAACTCCTTATTTTAGTTTTGTTTGACAAAACATTTAAGGTAGTGTTTGTGTTATTTTAATGCTTGACTTTTGTTTTTACCAATGTATTCAAAGTTTTCATCTTTTAGTAATACTTAATTTTTAATCACTAAGGATGGGTGTTATATTGTAAAACCATACACTGTAGATATGAAGAAAAAATTTAACTTGTTTTCTAATACCACTCTAAGTTCTTCGGGATTTTTAATCTGTCAAATATGCTAGAAAATATTTGTTTCATTTTTTTGAGTGCTATTATAAAATGAGTTAATTTTTAAAAATGGTTTTAAATTACCTAGTTCAATAAAACTTTTTGTCTCTTAAAATGTTTTCCTAAGGATAAGAAACTATCTGTTGATAATTTACCTCTCTCACCTGTTTCTGCTGTTCTATCTTCTTTGTTACTCCCTATCTGGCCCAATAAAAAAACCCATCACAATTTATTGAATGGGCCTGCCTTTTGATGTGATACCAAAACGGTTTATGTTCAGGTCTAACTAAAGGGCATAAGCAAATTATGTATGAATGACTGAAACTAACATTTAGACACAGACTTCAAGAGATCAGCCTGTGGATCACCAGAGAGTTTGAGGGAAAACCCCAGTTGTAGACAGTTATTCTGATTAGGCTAAATTACTAGGTTAAATTTTTGTCAGTCTTACTTTACTCTTGCTTTCTAAACTTTAATTGACTGCTTTGGAATCTCAGGGCATTTCAGGAATAATTTGTCCTGTCCTTTCCATTTTCCTCACCTGCCTCCGTGCCATCTCCTTTTTAAGAAAAATATTGTGGCAGCATAATATCTTGTTAGATAAGGTATTTCTACTAGTAGTAAGTCCAAAAGGTAATCAAACTCATTGATGCAGATGTAGGAGATGCTAAGTTAAACTGCAGAACAAATTCCTATTTGACCAAAGATTTTTGTATTAAAGGTCAGAGCCAACACTTTTTTATAACTGGCCTTAGATAATTCTCCCAATTTTCAGGAGAGCATATTGGTTTTAGGTTTACCAAGGTGGAGCAGATTTATTTCCAATATAGCAGGTTACATTGGAATGTACTTTTAAGTGATAAGGGGTGGGAAATAGGAACCATATCTGCAATCAAAATTCTTCTAAAAGAAACAACTGTTTTATCATTTTCATTTTAAATAATATTAACTTTTTAAATACCAGGTATGCAAAAATACACATTCCAATTATTGCATCCGTGTCTGAGCATCAACCTACAACTTGGGTGTCTTTCTTCTTTGATCTACATATTCTTGTATGTACCTTCCCAGCAGGCCTGTGGTTCTGCATTAAAAATATCAACGATGAAAGAGTATTTGGTAAGAGATTTTTTAATAAAACTGTGATTTGGAACAATTTATTTTCATTATTGAGATTATCACTTCAAAGTTTTGTTTTTCTTTGCTTGACTCTATGCATATTCAAGATGTTTCCTCTTATTTTGCATAAATGCCTAATCAAGAAAAACTCAGCAATTTTGTATTGTATATACTCTAATTATATATATATATATAGCTTTTAATTTAGTACTTGTATAGAAATTTTTAATTCAATTTATTATGGTTTTTGAGAAGTTAATGTTGTCATTGTCTGTGGCTGAGAATTGGAAATTATAACTTTATTCACCTTATAGTCTTGACTTCACTTTCTAAGTTAGATTTGATTAAGTAGGAAGAAGTTTGCATCCATCGTCCAAATTTCAGTGCAAAGTATATTTTGTAATGAAATAAGAATCACCTTTAAGTAAACACCCTTTCACTGAGAGATTTGTGTATATTTCCAACTAACAAGACTTAGAAATACGAACTATTTTAAAGCCAAGTGTTTAGGATCTAACATTCAAAATATAAATGGACAATATAAGCAGATACCAACAACTTCTACATGATTCAATTATCACAAGAAGTATGCTGTGGCTGTTTTGCATGTGATAAAACCTGAAACTGAAAAAAGTTGTGTAACATGCACCGGGTCACACAAGCAAACAATTTGTAGTACCAGGACTTGAACTTGTACAAATATGGGGCCTGGACCATTAGGGACACTCAAAGTATTATTCCAGAGTAAAGTCAGGAGAGAAAATAAAGTCCCTGCATGGGTCCTAACTGAAGGACTCATTCTCCTCTGGTTTATATAGATCAGTGGACTCTGGATAAGGCCATGTTAGTACTGCATCATTCAAAAAGATTTGGCTTAAACACACTGTCCACCTAATGGCTCAGCAATCCTAATTCTAGGTGAATACCCAAAAAGAAATGAATGCGTATGTCCAACAAAGGACATATTTAAGAATGCACCTAGCAACTTCATCCATAATAGCTCTGAATTAGAAACATTCCAAAGGTTATCAGCAGAATAGATAAATATAAATTTTGATGTATTTGTACAATAGCAATTAATAAAAGAATAGCGTGGATAAATAAAAGAAGCCAGTACAAAAGAGAACACTTTGTGTAATTTCATTTGTATGAAAGTTCAAGAATAAGGAAAACTAAATTAATGCTTTAGAAGTCCAAATAGTGTTTACCTTTTTTATAGGGGGGAGAACAGTTATTGACTGGGAAGAGGAGGTATAAAAATGTTCTGTATTTTGATATGGGTAGTAAATACATAGATGTGTGCATATATAAAAATTCATTGAGCTATACACAAGAATATGGTATAATGTATTTTGTGGTCAGGAAAAAAAGTTTTTGATTAGCTTCAAATGAGATAGGAGTTCAAATGACACATTGACTTTGTAAAGTCATATAGCCTTCAACCAGAAATGGTAGCGCCTTTTCCTGTGGTTAGCATAGTGTCTGGAAGGCTTTGGCTGTTTGAAATTACTTTCAGTTCTTTTTTAAAAAGCAGCCCCAAGGGTGTAGTAGTTCAGCACTCTCCACTTTGGCAACCTGGGTTTGGTTCCCAGGTGCAGACCTACACCACTCCTGGCCATGCTGGGGCAGTGACCCACATACAAAATAGGGGAAGATTGGCAACAGATATGAGCTCAGGGCGAATCTTCCTCAGCAAAAAAAAAAAGGCTCTTGGCAGTAACTACAGTTTCCTCCTTTGGTTAATAAATTATATTCTTCTCATCTCATTCTTACTTTAATGCGGGTTTTATGCCAGATATTGGCATTGTCTTTTCATAGACTTTGATTCTGTAAACTTACTGTGCCTAATGATATAATTTGCCAAATATGTTTTCATCCATCAGCTATGGATTTTCTAATATGTGATGCTGTTGACAAATAATGAATTCTTATTCCTCATAATAACTACAATTAAATTTGAATCATGATACATTTCTCTAAACAACAGTTTGTGTGTAGTGATTATTTAGTTTACGTAGTCAACACTAGTTATAATTTCTATATGACTATTAAATCAATTGGTCAGTATTATTAATTTAAAACAGCTCTTTTTTGAGACTTTTGTCTGTTTTTAGATTTGGTTTATAATATGTTAAATTTTTAGTTCAGTTGCCTGTGAACGTTTTCTTTTCTGAAGTGTTATAAGAGAACTTGTCTTTGCAGTTGCTTTGTATGCAATCAGCGCTGTCTACTTTGCTGGAGTGATGGTGCGGCTGATGTTGACTTTGACTCCAGTCGTCTGTATGCTGTCTGCAATTGCCTTCTCAAATGTTTTTGAGCACTATTTGGGGGATGACATGAAAAGGGAAAACCCACCTGTGGAGGACAGCAGTGATGAGGATGACAAAAGAAACCCAGGAAATTTGTATGATAAGGTGGGAAATCTGAAGTAAGGCCTTTAAAAATTTTATGTACTTTATTTTTTCCTCCACAATAAGAACCATACATATTAATAAATGTGTTTAAAGAAAGATTTAGACAAACTGTGACATTTCTAGTTGGTCTATACTATTTGCCTCAAATTTGAAGTTGGGTCTTTTAGCTCAGAGTAAGAAAGTAGAATATAATCAGAGAAGGAATTCTCATTTGTTTTTGGTCAAGTTTTATGTAAAACCCCTGTAATTACATAAAACTTAGCACTATAGCCATTCTGAAACCATGTGCCCAAGTGCTTATCCTTGAGGTCCATATTTAGTGTAAACTTTTTCAGTATTTGGTTGATTGAATAGTAAAATAAAGGGAATAAAGTGCCTTTAAAAATGAAGCCTCCAATTTGTTAGCAAAAGGGGGCTGGCCGATAGAATGTAATTCGCTTTTAACCTGCAACAGCAGGATTATATTTGGTGAAACACAGAAAAGACTTGAAAGAATTAGAGCACTTGTCTTGAATGACATATTAAATTTTACTATTTAACTGGGTTTTTAAATACCAGTAAGCAATGAAACTTCCTAGTTTAAGTATTAACTTTGAAATTCTTTCTTTCCTTACTATAGGTCCAATATAATTCATACAGATTTGTGTTAATAAAGCACATACTTTCTGTTGTGTCTGTAGTAGTTATTTGTTTTGTGGTTTCTTAACTAGCCTTGCAGTTTAGAACGTATGACTCTATTCTCTTCTCTCTTCCAGTTTTTGGTAGGCTTTTTTGTTGTTTTCAAAAATGTAATCTTAACAGGTCTATTGGTTTTGGGGTTTGGAAATTGGAAGACTGATTCTGATAATGCAATTTTTTCCTATGCTAAAGTCCTACATGGGTCTGGTTTATAGCTGGACATTGCCATTTTCAGGATGAGGAATTCAGATTTTATAAGAAAAGACTGCCACAATGAGGGCATTTGGTTATCTCCGTTGTATTTACATAAAACAAAAGGACAACTGGGTGTGAAAGCAGCTTCTTACTGCAGATATTTTGCTCTGTGACTAGCTCCTGGATTGGATATAGTCCCAGGAAGCCTTCTCAGTCACATTTGACTTTAGAATCTACCTTGATAAATTTTAGAAAACATTGTATCACTGACACAAGAATACTCAAAGAATAAATTGATAGATTAACATTCTCCCAACTTTTCACCTTGAGTGTCTTAATGAAGCAAGTTAAATGATGAATTTATCTAACCAGTTTTTTATATCTTCAGGCAGGTAAAGTGAGGAAACATGTAACTGAACAGGAAAAAACTGAAGAGGGATTAGGTCCTAATATAAAAAGCATTGTCACCATGTTGATGCTGATGCTATTGATGATGTTTGCAGTCCACTGTACCTGGGTCACAAGCAATGCCTACTCCAGTCCAAGTGTAGTCTTGGCCTCTTACAATCATGATGGGTAAGAAAATAACTTGGTTACAAAAGGATTTTATAGCTATTCTTTTTTTCTGTCTCAAAACATACAATTCAAAGATAGGTGTTTTTGAGGCTCTGCATATGAATCTACCATGTTTTTCATATGGCCTCTTCCTCGCCCAGCCCCTTTGGTTGAAGTGGGTAATAATCATTGTATTTCATGCTCTTTTCCAGAATATCTTTACATCATAACATATACATCATTTTTTCTCGAAGTGTGGTCCTTGGACACAGGGCATCATCATTACCAGGAAACTTGTTAGAAATGCAAATTGTAGACACTCCACCTAAACCTATTGAATCAGGAACTTGAGGTTGGGGCTCAGCAATCTGTGGTTTAATAAGCCCTGCAGGTGATGGAGCTAAAATTTAAGAACAGCTCATTTATATATTGCCTCTCCACTCTCCCACCCCAGCTTCTGCTTTAACTTGGGTGTTTGTTTGACTTACAGAATATCAGGCCCCACCCCAGAACTGCTAAACCAGAATTTGCTTTTTTATAAGATAACCAGGTGATTTGTGTGCATATTAAACTTTAAGAAGCATTAGTCTAGCTCTTCATTGATCCCCGACCCCATCGTTGAGGCTTTTAACTACCATCCTTAAAATGTGAAATTATTCAATGCTTTAGCACCTCAAGATTTTAAGTTACCCTCTTCACATTTAGAAGCTATCATTTAAAAGACTATTGTGATTCTTTTCAGCACCAGGAATATCTTAGATGATTTTAGAGAAGCTTACTTTTGGCTAAGGCAAAATACAGATGAACATGCCCGAGTGATGTCTTGGTGGGATTATGGCTATCAGATAGCTGGAATGGCTAATAGAACTACTTTGGTGGATAATAACACCTGGAATAACAGCCACATAGCACTGGTAAGAATTTGATAAACAAAAGATCAAAAATTATAAATCTTTTACTATTTAGGAATCAGGTTTCACTTGTGATTAAGTAAGAAAAATGTGGATAAAACTCCTCTTTGCTTGCTGAATTCTCAAAATGCATCTTTACACGTTTATTCAATCAAGTGAGTTCAAGCTATGCTTATTTATTTTGTTTTTAAGAATGGTATTTATTTATTTATCATTCAGAATTGTAGGCTGATTTCTGGCAGATCTTGTGATTTTTATTTAGCTCTCTGGAGAATTAGGCAAAATTGGAAACTTTTAGAATACTGTGTTTGACTTGTATTTTCCATTTTATAAATTAAGATAACTATTTGGAAATATGTAAAGCAAATGCACTGTATTTTATAGATATGCAGATTATGTTCACCTTAACTATTAAATGACTAGTTTGCATAAATTAAGGTAATCACCTCAATGTTCTTTAAAGATTTAAATAGATAACTAGAGTTAACCAAATGAATTCTATTTGTATTAGTGTTGTAGGTAATCTGTCTGGTAGACTGAGGAGAATATATTTGTGCTAGCCAGATCACTGATCATCTCTGGCCTGAAGTTGGAGAAATTCTACTTCTTTTAATCCTGCTGCTTTTGTATTAAGAGGTTAATTTCATGAAACTTAATTATTAGCAAAATATTAGATGTATTCTGATTTTGACATTTCTGCTATAACTGGTTGTAGTAAGTAGGATGCTTAAAAATTTCAGTGAATTTGTTGAATTCATAGCAAATCATTTCTCTGAAAAGAATCCCATGTTAAATCAGAGTCTTGAGATGCATTCCGTCTTAAGGTAAAAATGTACATTCATTTTTGGTTTTAGTGTATTGTGGGACTAAGTACACATATTCTCATTTTTTTATTCTGTAGGTGGGAAAAGCTATGTCTTCAAATGAAACAGCAGCCTATAAAATCATGAGGAGTCTGGATGTAGATTATGTTTTGGTTATTTTTGGAGGGGTTATTGGCTATTCTGGTGATGACATCAACAAGTTTCTCTGGATGGTTAGGATAGCTGAAGGGGAACATCCAAAAGACATTCGGGTAAGAAACTAGATCGTTCCAGGTGTGTGAGAGACAGCTCGCAGTGTCTAAGTAACTCTCTTATCTTGCTAATTGCATTGTATTCATTTTCATCATCCTGTCTCCTACATTAGTCCCTCACTCTGACTTTCCTATTTATTAAAGATACTATAAGCATTTTCCCAGGTTTAAAACTTTTGAAACTCATACCTGATACTTCTGTTCTCCCCTATGAAGCAATCGTTTGTCAAGACTCTTGCTTTTACTCCTTCACAGCCTCTCACTTCAGCCCTTTCTTTCCATTCCCATTGCTTCCACTCTAGTACTGACCCTTACGATCATAAACCTGAAACAGGACAGTAACCTTGAAATTGCTATCTTTGCCTTAGTCTTGTTCCCTCTCCCAGTCTAACATGATGTTGATCATGGCACTTTACAGCCTGAAAAACTTGAATAGATTAAGGAAAAGGGCCTTGAAACCAGACAGACGAGTTAAAACCAAAACCCTCCCACTGTCAGCTTGGTGCTATGGACCAAGTTATTTTTGGCCAGTCAGCATTATGTGCTTTGAGCACTAGGTCTTATTCTAGGTTCCGGGTTTTAATGATGAGTAAGGCAGCCTCAGATTATCACTAATGGGGATGCCAGGAATAGTTTATTTGTAGTGCTGTTATAAGAATTTGTAGTAATATAGATGAAGCTTCAGCTTACTGGCTGGTACGAAATAACCTCTGTAATGAAGTATTGGTATAAAATCCAAACTTCTTAGCTCGGAATGCAAACCCCTTAATACTTTGCTTTCCTTTGCTGGCCTTTTGTCTCTCTTATTTACAACTTTTTTCCACTCTGTCAGTCTGCTCTAGCCAGTGAAGCTCGCCTTGTTTCTTCCTTGACTCATCTGACATGTGTGTTTACACTCTAATCTTTCTTGGAATACCTTCTTAGCACAGATTTGTCCCCTCTCCAGAAGCCCTTCTCTGGTGCGTCCATGTCTGCACTCATCATCGAATCGTACACAACTTGTTTTGTAGGTAGATTGTGTAGTCTTTCTCCCACTCAGTTGCGAGCTCATTGAGGATGGACACCCAGCTTTCTAGTTTACATGATGAAGACACAAAAGATGAAAGATTCACTGCTGATCCAGAATAAAAGAACCTTTTAGGAAAATGTATGCATATGTGTTGTGTGACAGGGACAAAGTAGCGTAGAGCCCAGATTTTCTGTTCAGATGTAAATGCTGTGACATTTTCCCTTAACTGTGATTAATGAACATTATTTCCTTGTATTAAATTAATCTTAGTATTCCCAGTATATGATTTTCATTTGTGGCTTTGTTTTAGCAGTGTTAAAATTGTAACATGTAATAGATCCAAATATATGCTTTGAACATTTATATGATTAGAAACCCTAAATGTCTGTACTTTTTCAAATCAGTGTTTTTAAACTTGGTGAATAGGTAATATATTTGCATGGTTCAAAAAATGAAATATAAATATATGGGGGCCAGCCCGGTGTTGTTGTCGTTAAGTTTATACACTCTGCTTCGGCAACCTGGGGTTTACAAAATACAGGAAGATGGGCACCAATGTTAGCTCAGAGCCAATCTTCGTCACCGAAAAAAAAAAATTTAATTAATTAAAAAAATAAATAAATATACAGTAGAAGTTTCCCCCCTCCTCCTAAGAAAAGAAAAAAGGCCATGGTACTCATCATTTTCTTCAGATTCTTATTCAAGCAGATAACTAGTAGCAAAAGAAACATCCTTTTATTGCATTTTTCACTAGATTATATATCTTGGAGATCTTTCCATATTAGAATATAGAGAGTCTTCTTCATTTTTTTTTTTTTTTACAACTGCACAGTGTGTTCCATTTTGTGTGCAAAATGATTTATTTAACTTGTCCCTACTGATGGATGTTTAGGTTGTTTCCAGTTTTAGTCTCTGCAGTAAATAACTTTCTATACTGATTATTTTGCCCATGTACAAGTATCTCTGTAGGATAAATTCCCAGACAAAGAATTTCTATCTATAGTGTCAAATTGGCCCTCTTTAGAGGTTAGTTTATAAAGTTGATGAGATCACAATAAAAATTACTACAAAAAAAAGGAGGGGGCGGCTGGCCCCGTGGCCGAGTGGTTAAGTTGCTCCGCTTCGGTGGCCCAGGGTTTTGCCAGTTCGGATCCTGGGTGTAGACATGGCACTGCTCATCAGGCCATGCTGAGGCGGCGTCAACAACTAGAAGGACCCACAACTAAAAATATACAACTGTGTACGGGGGGCACTTTGGGGAGAAAAAAGAAAAATAAAATCTAAAAAAAAAAAATTACTACAGAACTTTTCTAAATAGTCCCCTCTCCAACTAAAGAATTGATTTTAGAGTTCATATGGAAAAATAAAGAATAACATTTAAGAAAACTCTGAAAAGGAGTAATGGAGGTGAAGATGTAGCAATTGGAGAGAGCCAGTCTGCTTGGTATTAGATGATGGTGTTGATATTATTCTTTTTTAATTATTGAGGTTTTCTAACATGATTTAAAACCTGGTAGGATTAACTGCCCTCGCTGACTCCCAACAAAAGACTGCTGTTCTTTTCTATCTTAGGCACTCGTGTTTATTTTTATAAATGATTTCAGGCTCAACTTTAAAAAACATTCATAATGGTTTTATGGGCTTTTTTAGGTATCACATTAAGTTTATAAGTTAATCTTCTGATTCCATATTTTTTTTGAGATGTAACTAAATAGGTCTTTATGAAGATACCTCAAAGCTGGTTCTTATGCGGGAATGAAAAGGGGCACCTGTAGCTTTGAATGTGTTAAATTGAACTGACACAGAAACTTCTGGTTTCTTTCTTGTAGGAAAGTGACTATTTCACCCCACAAGGAGAATTCCGTGTAGACAAAGCAGGATCCCCAACTTTGTTGAATTGCCTTATGTATAAAATGTCATACTACAGATTTGGAGAAATGCAGGTTAGTTACATCAGTTTTTTTAATAATCTATTCAAAAAACTTTTGTAAAAGTAGTTTTGTTTGCCTCTAGAAAACAAGATAATGATGTTCTGGTTGCACTCTAAAGAAAAATGTGCTTATCTAAAGATTCCCCCTGCCTAGTTAAATTTAGATATCTGAAACGTCTATGTGAAAAATTAGGAAAAAAATTTTAGATCAAAGATTTTTTTCCAAAATATTAATTAACACTAGGCTCAAATCCAACCTTTGCCTGCCGTGCCACCTTTGACTTCATGCTTTTGGAAGACGTTATTCTCCAGGGGAGAGGTTTTCCCAGCTAGGAAATAGTGTGATCTTAAGTAGGTTACTTTGCTGCTTGGTAGGGAAAAGCCTGAAATTAAAGAGTTGAGTTATATAGTCACTTCAGATATTCACTCTTTCCCTATTCTCCATCACTACAGATAGCTAGGACTATCTGGGTCAGAGTTTCCTAGAAAATTAGAATGATGTGGTACAGAAGCTTAAGGGTCCACAAGATGAGTGAATGTGCAAAGAGGCATTTTGGCAAAAAGAACAGACAGTGGGCTTACTATCATAGTACCTGGGATTTGGATCTGCTCTGTCAAGCCATGTAACCCTTGGACAAGTCACATCCTCCATAGACTTGTTTTTTTCTCTTTATATAATAGGGGCTGGACTGATGACTTGAATTCTAAGGTTCTTTATAGCTCTTAGATTGTGTGACTATAATACTAAATTATGCCTTCATACTAAGATTCAGTGAAAACTGCCTGATTGCATATTGCCTGCTGGTTAAGTTGATACTAGAAGGCAGAGGAAAACTTGCTTGTTTAATTTTATGTAAATACCAGGGATCAAGATAATGTTTCATCATTATTCATTTGTAATTACTCTGTAGATGGCTTTAAAAAAATACACAATAATTTTTACTAGTAGATTTAGGTTTTTGTTTGTGTTTTGATTTTTTTGAAAGCCACTGCCCAGTCTCTAAACTCATGCTAAGAAAGAAGTACTTAAACCATAATAATTAGGTACCTCAGAAAATGGGTCAAGGGTTTGTTTCTGTGTTCACTAATGATAGCATCGAAAGACCTTTTTTCCTGTTTTTTATAGGAGTTTTAAGCCATGCTTCTAGTATGTATTTATTTTGATGCCTTCCCTACTCAAGACTAATATATGTTTAAAACATGAAGTATAACTTTTATTGTACAGATATGCAAGAACGAGTTATTCCCTCATTGGAGTAGATTAGGTTTTTATTTTTGTTTTGAAGTTGAATTCAATTAAGTTCTGCTTGTGTGTTAACATAAACTTAGTCTGAGAATTTCTTAAAGTCTTCTCCCCTCTCCTCCTTTTTTCCTTTTATCCTGGTGGAGGATGCAGGAACAGATTTCCTCTGCTATCCAAAAGTAGAGCATTGCTGTGACAGCTTTTGTAAGCCAAAATGGTGTAAAGCAAAGATGCAGTTACCACTTAGGTGGGAAAATTTTTTGAACATTCCCAGACCCAAAAAATAACCTACCAAATCATACCAAATAACACATAAAACCTAAAATAACACTGACATATAGCAAAAGCAGGAATGACCTGGTAAATACACAGCCTAAGTGAAGTAGAAATAATGTACGTACGGTGTAGTTTCACACTCTAGAATCAGGAAGACAGCAAGCACCCTGGAAGGCCGAGAGGTGGTGGTGGCGGTGGTGGTGTCTGAGGCTGAGTAGTCAGAGGATGGGGTGGTGGGAGGTACAGGGGACTAGGGTGTAGGAGAGAGAGGAGGAGGGGCATCTGTTAGTACGTTATTGTTGTCTGACTCCATCAGAGCAGGCAGGTCACTAATGTCTACACCTTCTTCTATATCTGCCTGCCTTCATGTTGAAGGTCCAGGTTAGTCATCTCTGTAACTGAAGTGGAAGGCTTGAAATACGACAGTATGCTTAAGTTACTTAGTCTCTATAACTTGCTGCAAAAAAACTGCTGAACCCCATTTTCACTTTTTGCTTTTCCATGAAAGCAAAAATCCTCTTCAGGTTTCTTTCGGTTGGTATAGGTCTTCCATAAAAGCAAAGTGGCGTAAAGAGAATTTTTGGATAGCTGGGGAAACCTGTAATTTTAAAAATAAATAAAGGGGCCGGCCCCGTGGCTGAGTGGTTAAGTTCCCGCGCTCCACTGCAGCAGCCCAGGGTTTTGCCAGTTTGAATCCTGGGTGCAGACATGGCACCGCTCATCAGGCCATGCTGAGGTGGCATCCCACATGCCACAACTAGAAGGACCTACAGCTAGAAATACACAACTATGTACCAGGGGGCTTTGGGAGAAAAAGGAAAAATAAAAGAAATCTTTTAAAAAAATAAATAAATAAATAGGGGCTGGCCTCGTGGCCAAGTGGTTAAGTTCGTGCACTCCGCTGCAGGCGGCCCAGTGTTTCGTTGGTTCAAATCCTGGGCTCGGACATGGCACTGCTCATCAGACACGCTGAGGCAGCATCCCACATGCCACAACTAGCAGGACCCACAACGAAGAATATACAACTATGTACTGGGAGGCTTTGGGGAGAAAAAGGAAAAAAATAAAATCTTTAAATAAATAAATAAATAAATAAATAAAAACTTTAGCAATGAACGCTATAGAGTAAAAGATATGGAAACAATGGAGGAGAGTTCTCAACCACCAATCTAAGAAACTGTTTCCCTAAAGAAACGGTATTTGGGCTGAGACCAAAGGATAGAAAGGAGCAAGCGTGCAAAAGAGCCAAATGAAGCACTTTCAGGCTCAGAGAATAGATAGTGCAAGGCCCTGAGGCAGAAAAGAAGTCGCTTCTGTGTGTTCTCTCTCTGTACTTATAAAAAGGGCTTTGATGGATTTTGGTTTGCTGTGTTGGTTTTTTAACGCTTGCAGGCTGCTCATAAACTTTAAGGGTTCGGTGAAATTCTAATTGTGATGTATTTAGTTTCTCTCTTCCTGATTTCTTCCTATATCTAGTTAACAGCATATGAGAATTGTTATGGTATATTACTCTGATTCTGTTTTCCTAGTTTAAAGAGAATTTTACTCTGATGATAACATTTACTTCCTTCTAATACTTAATGATATGGCTAACATCCAATACTAATGTCACTTTTGCAGCTGGATTTTCGTACACCCCCAGGTTTTGACCGAACACGTAATGCTGAGATTGGAAACAAGGACATTAAATTCAAGCATTTGGAGGAGGCCTTTACATCAGAACACTGGCTTGTAAGGATATATAAAGTGAAAGCACCTGATAACAGGGAGACACTAGACCACAAACCTCGAGTCACCAACATTTTCCCAAAACAGAAGTATTTGTCAAAGAAGGTGGGTGCCAGGTGAAGTCAATGTCTATAAAAGGGTAACTCAAGGTTGGTTGGTTTGTCTGAAAAATAATTACTAAAATTTGCTAATAAATTTCCATTTACCAGATCTGTAAAGATGATGGCTTTTATACAAAGTAAATATCAAGCTGTCCTGCTAGGGGCATTCTTTTCAAGCTGAGCACTCAGATATCCCAAGCAGCAACTTTTTCTGGATAGCATATAGTAGTTATTGGTGAACCAAGTTGAGATTTCCTGGCTTTAGTTTGCACCTTCCCATTAATAAGACTTATTCATAAAGTAAGATGTGACTGTGGCCATCACTTTCTGTGAAAAGTAAAAATGCCAAATACTGAAGTAATGCCATTGTGATTGAAAAATGCCATTCCTCATCTTTTGGTCAAAGCAAATGTATACTACATTTTCATGTTCCATTCTTAGTATGATGTTACTGTATTATTCATTGAATAAAGAATAGGTTTGAATAAAAAAAATCATTTATCTTAAGATAATTATTTTTAAATGTAATTATCATGACAGAGCTTGTAGGCAGGAATTATGATGATGAGACTGTTGCAGTCCTTTTGTATAAATATTTAATAAGATGTGAAGTATTTTATTGGAAGTCATTATTGCTCACTTAAGCCAAATAGATCTAATCTTTGCTATAAAAGACTACTAAAAATGAATATTTATATAGGTTGCCCTCTGTGGAAGATGAAAAATAATGAGCAGTCAGATGAAATATTAAGGTTGTATTACAAGGTACTACCATTAAAATACTAATAATTATTAGAACAATTTCAGTCTTAAGTCTTGAGAGATGCTTGTTTACATTGCTTGGATTAGTTATTTTAAATCATTGAAGCAATTGTCTTATCTATTTGCATTACTTAAAGTATACTTCAAGTATATTCAGAATACAGATTATTTCAGTTTGTACTATAAAAGTGCTGAATATTAGCTGTATGATATGTAAATATAAACTTTTTAAATGAATACTTTCTGTGCCAGATATGAAATTCCCGTATCTAGACTGATGTATTGAAATATGTAGAGCTGACACTCTTTCTGTGGGTCATATCAGATTCACTTACCAGTCTTTATATCAAATGACAGATCAAATGATCTGGTTTCTCACAGGCCATATAGTGGGAGAAACTGGTGAGTCACATCAGTGCAGGAGTCAAAGCAAATGCTGCTAATCGCAAGGCAGTTACTCCTAAGATATCTAAGCCCAGTGAACGTCTACCTTTTCTGAAAAACAATGCCATTGAACTTACTGATTATAGTGAGTTTTCTTACTGACCTCTTTTGTCTTCCCATCATTTCCCTAAAATAAATAAGCGAATGGATAATTAAAATGAGTCTATCTTGAATGCCCACAATATATATTCTAGTAGCCAACAACATGGATTTTGAATTTCTGGTTTACATGGCTTTATAATCTCTCTTTTGTACTAGCACCAGAGGAATGCTTTTTGTTTCTTTATTTGGTTTCCTCTCCCTACCCTGGTTTTTAGTTTAGCAAGTGAGGGGGTATGAGACAGCAGGCATTCTGGGAGTTTTTCCTGCCACTGCAAAGAAGACATGACTAAAGCCCTAGGAATTGTAGTCCAGAGCTGCCAAAATTGGCTCACTGCCCGTAGAGAAAAACACCCTTAGAGACTAGTAACATACTTGTATAGACCTGGGGCATTTTACAATATCTCATAGAAAAATTTTCATGTTAGAAATCTGTAGGTAATGATGATAAAGACACTAACTCCTTGATCTCGTTTGAATTTTTAAAAATTGTGTCCTCTGAAATTTTTTACTTTTTGCCTTAATAAAATAAGTTAATAATAAGGTAACATATATTGTGGACAAGTTAGCAGTAACTAATTTTTGTAACTTTAAGAAGGATTGCATTTTGCCTTGTATTCTTGTCCCTGTTAGAAAAAATTATAAAGTGCTTTAAACTGAACATCATAAATAAATGTGCACGATGGAGCATTTATTCTAAGATTCTGAAACCTCCTCCAAGAGTTGTATTTAAATGTGAAAATTGAATTGAGTGGTCAATCTCCTGAATCTTCAGCCTCTGCTAACCCAGTGCTTTGATGGTGCATTAAATTGCTTGTTTCCAAAAAATACTTCCTTTCTTCACTATATGTCGGATTGGCAGACACATTGTGTCTGTATGATTTATCTTGTAGGATTCTAACACAGCAAACATTTTTGCAGCAATTTCTACCACTGCATTTGTAGTAATTTTGCTTCTTATACTAGAAAACATCTGTTGAAAGTATTTTAGTGGGATCCTGAACTGTTAAGAAAAATGTGTTATTTTTAAAAGATCTATGAAACTCAAGGAATGTTGGGCTTTTTTCTTGATGTTTGGTTTTTGTTTTGTTTTTCATTTTTAGATACTTATTTTCCTACCTAAATTGGAGAATGTGCCAAGTAATTTTATTTCTCTTTCATGTGTGTAGAATAGGTACAATCATCTTCATTTTACAGATAAGAAAACTGGGACCCCCAAAGTTACCAATTTGTTATTTCTGACATACAGCTAATTCTTGGAAGCTAAACTAGGAGCAGCATTAATATTTTCTTATTTCTTAGTCTAATGTTATTTTCTATCATGCCTGGACATGTGAGTAATTATTCCAGCTAAGCATTTATTGATTGAGAGGGGAGGTGGGGGTTCATTCACCTAATGGTGCAGAATATATGATACGCATTTGAGGAATGCTTTGGTAGTTCTTTGACCTTAAAGCTAGGGATCTAGTCCAGTTCATTTTGGATCTCTTCGTGTCCTCTCCGTAGAAGAGTTAGTGATGCTCATTGACTATTCAAGGAGTCCAGCCATAGGAAGAGCTAAGGGCTTATTAAGACAGTCTTTATCAATCACAGTGCAGTAAACTGTGTGTGTTTATATTTTTTTAATTTGTAGGAAACCACTAACAACATGTGTTCTCTTTTCTTTTTAGACTACAAAAAGGAAGCGTGGCTACATTAAAAATAAGCTAGTTTTTAAGAAAGGCAAGAAAATATCTAAGAAGACTGTTTAAATACACTGTTCTGGTTCCTGACTTGAAGCAGTTGTCCTTGTGAGAACCAGTCTTTGCCTTTAGCTCATGTCATGTTTCACAGCGACAGAGGGTACAGAACCATCACTGGTCCAGGTTAATGTACAAAATTTTCTGGCGATGCCTGATTTAAAAAATAAAATTGGCTTATTGAGAACAGCTGTTTTCAATTTGTAATGTGAAGCAAGACAGAGCACTGCTGTAAATGTCTAACAGCAGATTTTTTTTATTGGTACATATTATCCTTCAAATCTGAGAATTTGGACTAATTGCACCAAAGAACCCTCTAATTTGGTCCCTGGCACATGCATACTTGTCAATGTTTTTGTTCTTTTACAAGACCTGCATTTTATTTGAACTACCCAAATAGCAATATGTAAAATACAAATGACAAATGTGATGCGAGCTTCTTGAACCAGTAAACTAGTACAGGTCTGAGAAAGAGGTATTAGAAAAGTAACTATACTTCCTTGAACTATATTTATTTTCATGTTTCTCCAATGCAAAGAATGTTTCATCAAATGTACATTTTCTGTTGCTTACCATTTGCTCTAAGAAGAAGCTGCTGTTTCAGAGATAGACCTCTGAGTAACTAATCGATTCAAGTAGTTATGTTGACACATTATTGCTGCTGTCAGCAGTTGTTTTCACCAGGTACTTACAGAGCAGATCTCATATGTTCTTCATTCAAGGGCTAAATTTATATCCTTTGGCAATCATGGCAACTGCACAGAACGTTGCTTACTAGAATGAAGTTTGGTATCTTAGTACTGAGGTTAGCACTATGTTTACATGCAAAAGATTAAGGAAAAAACCCTTAAAGTGGACAGGTATCCAAAGTTCATTTTCTGTGACTCTTCAAAATGACAAAGGATTTGTAAACTTCGCCTGCATTTCTCTCATTTTATAACAGTTTCATCCGTCACAATGATTGTCCTCCACTCCATATTTTTTTAATCCCTTAAGCATTTGATGAAACACTCTTTAATGCTATATGCATTTTCTTACTTTCATTAAAAATGTGACAATTGTCAAAAAATGCACTAAAATATAAATGGAGATTGAACATGTTCACTTTCCAGCTTATAGGCAACTTTATATAGACTTGAAAATTTTCTCCAGTTGTTTAGTAAAAGTGAAAGAGAGTTTTCCTGCCACAGGATATGACTTTTTTTTATATAAACAAGCATAACTTACACCACTGCTTTTGGTGGAAAAGTGCAGAATAGTATGTACCTTTTATGAAGAAAAGTGTAATTTACGATATTCAGTGAGAATGTTACTGCTGATTTTCTTTTCCAAAGTGTAGAATATTCTTTGATTTATAAAATTCCTTTTTGACCCAGATGATGGTTCTTTTACAGACCAATAAAATGGCTGAACATTTTCACAAATAAAGTGTAACTAAATCTGGATTTCTGATACCTTGTTATTTGGGGGATTTTATTTTACTTTGTTGCTTTAAAATTCAATGCAGAGAAGTTGTTGACTGTAGGGGAAATAAAGTTAATTCAAATTTTGTGTTAATTGTTGTCTTTTATGAATCTTTTATTTTTGAAAGGAGTTACAGAGTACTGAATGTATACTTCCTTCTTTGTTCACTCTTACAAAGGTTTTAGAGAATATGTGTAGAAAAGAAGTGCTAGATTAGTTCAACTTAGACCTACTATTTTATTTTGCCTTCTCTCTACCCCAGAATGAAATCTCATTTTGACTTTTTATGGGTGAGTGAGGGAGAAGACACCTAGCCAAATAGGAATTTTATCTCCATTTAAATGAGGATAGTACTCTAACAAAAGCCCTGTTCCGGAAAGTTCTGGTATTTAATCAGTTATCTTCATTGTAGAATTTTCTCATTAAGAGCAGGAATGATCCCTCACCTTTCTTAGTTTTAGGAAACATTTTGGTTCAGTAGATTGCCTTAATAAAACGCTGTATTTGTAACCACATTTGTGGTTTTTGTTGTAGGAAAAAAAAGTGAAATTATAGTAGTTTAAATACATTGGAATATAGGATAATTGTCTCAGAATAATCTTTACATCTTTAAATTTATTTCATGTGTGATCACTGACACTGTACATCACAGAGGGAGGTATTAAAGATCATGACCTTGAAGTTTTAGACTATAAAACAGCTTTTGGGTTTGTTCCGTATCTTAGAATTGAACAAAACTGAGTGCTCTGTAGTATAAATAAGACAGTGAGGCAGCAAGTCCAAAGATAAAATTCAGTTTTCGGACTTACGTTGTTACCTACTTGAGTTTGCATTTGTAGCGTTTTGACTTCATTTGAGTCTGTAAGCTATGACCAAGAGGCCAGAGGTCTAGATAGTATAAAAGCGTCCTGTAGAGTGTTAGTGTGTCCATAGCTAAGCAACCATAAGATCATGAAATCTGGAGCAACTGTACCTTTTTTTTAATTGTGGTAAAATATATATAACATAAGATTCACCACCTTAACCATTTTTAAGTGCACAGTTTAGTCGTGTTGAGTATGTTCACATTGTTATGCAACCAATCTCCCCAGTTCTCTTCATCTGGCTCGAACTGCTGCTTCTTGATGTGGGTTTTGTCCGACATCTGTCTTGCTGCCCATAATCCTCAGTTGAGGAGTAATGAATAAATGGAGAGCTCAACAGCAGTCTGCAACTGAGACAGTAGGAAATTGAGACAGCAACAAGTAAAGAAATGTCATAATGTCTAATTTTTCTTTTTTTTTTTTAAAGATTTTATTTTTCCTTTTTCTCCCCAAAGCCCCCCAGTACATAGTTGTATATTCTTCGTTGTGGGTCCTTCTAGTTGTGGCATGTGGGACGCTGCCTCAGCGTGGTTTGATGAGCAATGCCATGTCCACGCCCAGGATTCGAACCAACGAAACACTGGGCCACCTGCAGCGAGCGCGCAAACTTAACCACTCGGCCCCGGGGCCAGCCCCTCTAATTTTTCTTTGAAAGTAAACTTTTTTTAATTATGAAATGTAACACAAAGAAGAACACAAAAATGACACTTTGGTGAATTACCACAAAACAAGCAACTTTGTAACCACAGCCCAGGTCCAGAGAACAGAACACTGCCAGTACTCCAGAAGCTTCCTCATGCCCCCTTCCAGTCACTGGCCTGTCCCCCTTCCTCTTCAGAAGGTAATCACTCTATTAGTTTTTATGGTAATTATTTTGATTTCTGATTTTAACAATTCAGTATTTCTCTCTAAACATAATGTTTAATTGCACCTATTCTTTGAGCAATATAAATGGAATCAAAGTATGTATTTTTTTGTATCTAGCTGCTGCTCAGTTTTTGTGAAATGCATCCAGAATGTTGCATGCCGCTGTAAGTTTATTTTCATTGTATTACATAGTATTCCCTTATCTCACACACACACACACACACACACACACACACACACACCCCTTCCCATTCCCATTCTATTGTTGGTGGATATTTACATTGTTTCCAGTTTGAGGATGTTACAAATAATGCTGTAGGAATATTCTTTTACATCTTTCTCGGAGCTTATGTGTATACATTTTTGTGGGTATTTACCTGATAAAGTAGAATTGCTGAGTGGGATGTGAAGGTCCTTACTACTCCCACATTGTAATCAGCCCTTGCCAGTCTTTTTAATTTGGCCTGTCTGGTGGGTGAACAGTGATTTCTCATCGTGTTTAATTTGCCTTTTCCAGGTTGCTAATGAGGTTAATCATTTGGAAATCCCCTTTTTAATAAGGTTTTGGTTCCAGTCTCTTTTTCTTTTTTTAATTTTTATTATATCAGTAGGAATTCTTTATATATCTTGTATATAAGCCTTGCATCATTTGTGTTACAGACTGCCTAGGAATTCATTATTTTAATGTGGTCCTTTCAATCTTCTGTGTGCCTATAGCTTTTTATGCCCTGTTTAAAAAGTCTATTCCTAACCCAAGATGTGAAGATGATAGTCTACTATTCTTTCCCAGAAAATTTTTTGTTTTATCTTTTATACTTAGCTTTGCAGTCTGCCTGGAATTCATTTGTTGAGTACGGTGTGAATCATTTTTTGTTTTGTTTTGTTTTTTGCGTATGTATACCTAATTATCTGTGTAGCATTTATTGGAAAGACTATCCTTTTTCCTACAGCTCTGCAATACTCCTTTGGCAGTAAATCAAGTGTCCATATGAGTATATTCTCCGATTCTATGTCATAGTCCAGAGAGTTCTTACCTTTGTGTGTTGACTAAGTATAGCTTTAAGATAATTAAGATAATTAAGATATGGGAAAGCAAGTCCCTCTCCCATCCCCACCTTGTTCTTTAAATTTGTCTTAGCTGGTTATCGCCCTTTGCTTTTTTATATAAATTTTAGAACCAGGTTGTTAAGTAACACCAAAAAAAGACAAAGCTTGTCGCGCTTTTGATTGGGCATTTTTAACCTTTCAAGTCTTTTTTCTATTAATGTGACATATCCTTCAATTTATATAGGTCTAAGTCATCTTTAATCTCTGTTTTATAGTTTTTAAATCTTGCACATTTTCATAAGTTTTATTACAAGGTATATGTTACTTTTTGGTAAATACTGTCTTAAATTTTATTTTCCAATTGTCAGTATAGAGAAAGTTGGTTTTATGTTGAAATTGTACTCAACTATTAAATTCATTCTAACTATTTATTCAGATTATCTTTTATTATAAACATATGCCATCATAATCTGAGAGTAATGGCAGTTTTATTTCTCCCTTTCAAATGGTTATATATATAATTTTCTCGCTTTTGCTGCACTAGTTGGGACCTCCAGTATAGTACTGCATGGAAAAGGTAACATCCGTGTCTTGTTCCCTATCTCACACAGGAAATTTTTGATGTCTCTCCTTTATGTTTACTGTAGATATTCTGTAGATATCTTTGATCAGATTGAGAACATATTTTTCCCAGTTTTCTATGAGTTTTTATGATGAGTTTTGGTTTATCAAGTGTTTTTTTCCTTCATTTGTTGAGATGATTTTAATTTTTCTCCTTTATTCTGTTAATAGAGTGAATTACCGAGACTTTTTGTTCACTATGATAAACTAAATTTGCATTCCTGGAATAATCATCAATGTTTGATAGAACTTGGTGAAACCATTTTGGCTTGCATTTTTCTTTGTGCATGGGTCTTTAATTACAGATTCAGTCATTTTACAGCCACAGGATCATTTGGGCTTTTTATTCCTTATGTCAGTTTGGTAAGTTGTGTTTTTCAAGGGATTTGTCAATTTCATCTACATTTTCAAATAGATTAATGTAAAATTGTCGCTGATATGACTTGACTATTAATAACATATGCAGATTCTATAGTGATGTCCTTTTCATCCCTGAGATTGGTTTTCTTTTTTCTTCTTGCATCCCCATCTCTTTCTCTTTGTTTCTTCTGTCTCCCTCATTACCTTGTTCCTCATTTTCCTTTGCAGTTTTTACCAATTTTGTTAGCCTGTTTTTTCTTTCAAAGACCATTTTATGGCTTTGTTGACATTTTCCATGGTATTTTTTTTAATTTCATTAATTTGTGTTAATTTCCTTTTATTTCCTTGGAAGAGAGGAGTTCTTTTTAACTTAGCGTGTTGATTTCGTCTTTTCATAATATAGGAATTTCAAGTTACAGATTTACTTCAAGCATAGTTTAAATTCCATTCTCAAGTTTTGATGTGAACTGTCATTCAGTTTAATGCATATTTTAATTTCTATTGTATTTTCTTCTTTGAACTATGGGTTAGATGTTTCTTGATTTTCAAATATAGTGGTTTTCTAGTTATCCTCTTATTATCAATCTCTACCTTAATTACATTATAGTTGGATACTCTATAATTTTAATTCTTGGAAAATGGTTGAAATTTGCTCTGTGGTCCAAAATATATATACCATAATCTCTCTGAAGCTTGTTCTGTTATTTGCTGAGAAGGATGTATTGAAATCGTATACTATCATAGTTTTTTCTTTATATGTTTTGAACCCATATTATTAGGTGTATATACATTTGGAACATTTCATTGGTGAATTGAATTTTTGATTTTCAGAAATATCAGACTTTCAGTAATGCTTTTGTTAAAGCCTATTTTGTCTGATTAATAATAGTGTTATTATTTAAGATGTTTGCCTGATGTATCTTTTTCGTCCTTATGAACCCTACTTTGGATCTGTTGAACTTTTTTGATTTGTAGCTTGTTGGTTTTCATCAGTTTTTTAAAAAGTCTCAATTATCTCTTTAAATCTGCCGCATTCTCTCTCTGCTCTCCTTGTGAGACTCCAATTAAACGTTATTAGACCTTCTTTATTGGCTGTCTCTACTTTTGCCTCTCCATTCTGTGTATTTACTCCTAACTCAATTCTGCCATCAATTATGGCTACTGTGATGTTAAACCCCTCCATTGAGTTCATCTTGCTTATGCTACTTTTCAATTCCAGAATTTATCTCCCATCCCCAATCTCTTTTTATGGTTTACAGCTGACCCACTGACATGCTCAATCTTCTTTTATTTAAATAGCATAATTATTTTAAACTGTGTTTGATAAATCCACTA